AAAAATTTATGTATAAATAAAAGGAAGATAAGGAAAAAAAAATCTCATTATTTACTTAATTCCTGCTTTTGAATACTTAACCAGAAAAACGTTCCAAGGGGAAAAAATAAGCAAGCGGATTGTCAGTTTGAATGCCATGAAGTTTCACTGACAAGTAGAGCACGCCTTTGATTTATTAGTGACGTGGGGGAGCAAATGACCTGCTGAGAAGCAAATGACTAAAGAGAACCCCCAACAAAAAGGGTGAGTTCATTTGTGAATTTTCTCTTCTGAAAAACTGAGGATGTTAACGGTGGTAAAATTTCCACTGCTTCGGTCTTTAAAGAGTTAAACCAGTTCGAAATGCTAGAGAAGGGGGGGGGGAAAACAAACGGAACGACAGATGGCGAAGACGAGTTCAAGAACTGCAAAAATTACAACTATCGTCTGCTCAGAAATACATAAAAGCAACAGATCGCCATCGAGAGAGTCACGTGAATACCTTCCCCAGTCCACGCCCCGTCTTTCCCCATTCAATGAAGAGACAGAGAGACGTTTTGTTGGGAAGACAAGAAAAAGGCGACACCGATCCCATCCCCTGGCGTGACAGGAAGACCCGTCTTACTCTTCGCGTGACACAAGACCATCACACAAAATTCGAGATACTAAAATAAAAAGACAAAAATGGTCACGACATCATGACGACCTGTTGAATATTTTTTCTCTCTTAAAGATAGAATAAAAGGTAAATATATAGCTAAATTTATATATATATAAATAAATATTTAAAAAAAAAGAGAGAGAGACAGTTAAAGGTAGGGGGGGGGAGAGAGAGAATAGGCTGAAGTGGAGGGGGGGTTGTCCGTGACACGCTTCTAGGCAGGCAGGTATCGCTTCATTTCCGTTTGACCTAGAAATTCGCTTAGCTGTGAATGCATATAGAGTGGAAGCATAGGAAAATGCTTAGAGGTCAATTTTGGTTGGTAATTGGCCGCGAGGCTTGTAGCTCTAACGGCCCGTGCTATCCCCTCCCTCACAGATAAAAATCTACGCTTTTACCGAACACAAGGTGAAAGTGATATCACTTCAAAAACAGCTCTCGTTTCCATTACGTCCAGGCATTTAATCAAAAAATTACGATTTCCGCTTTCAACTTGTATCCGTTATGACTGTATTTCGAACGGATGATTTTATTTTATATTCGATGAACGGCGCTGGAGTGCCGCTGCCGACCCATTTTTGGGCACACAGGTTTAGCGTTCGTCAATAAAACTTTAATAAACCCCACAAAAACAAATGGAAAGAAATTTTATATTCCACAAGAACAAATTAAAAGATAAGGCTTCCAGCATTCTAATTCTTCATAAATCTACCAATTCTTATCTCCCTCTCAACTGACCCCACGGGTGGTCTTCACATGGTCCAGTTCCCCGTCTTGTAGCGTCCACTATGAAAAAGGAGGGTGACCACAAACGATTTGTATTTTTAAAAAAAATTGTGGTGGATAAGGTTTCATTACGAATCAAAACTCCTAACTTTCAGTTCTGCTGTTTCCATCAATGAAATGTAATCCACCACAGAATTAGCAAACTACAAATTGTTTATGGTTGCCCCCTTTTACCTGGCGGATGCTACAAGATAGGGGTTCGGATCATGTGAAGACCACCAGTAGGGTCAGAGAGGAAGATAAATTGATACACTTATGAAGTACTATATAGTACGGCTTTGATGAGAACTCCTACAGACTGGAAGCTGTCTGCTGCTATGGTAACAAGCGAGAGCACATTTCTGATGGGGGTAATATGGAGGAAAGAAAGTGTCGTTTGGTTTACTCACGACGACCTACGCTAAGATTAAGACAAAACTATTCACCCCACACCCCTATTCGAAGTGATCTTTTCTCGCAACCATAGTACCGGCCACGAAGCGAGACGGGTGTCTGGAGCAGTTCTCCTGAAAGCCACACTATAGAATGTAGGGAACTGCATTTTTCAATTTGTTTGAGTGGTTCAATTTGTCTACGCGTAAACAGCTTTTTCGATAACGCAAACAGCCTAAGGCTCACGACGTCTGAGTCTGAGCCCCCATCCTATAGCGTCCACCATGTAAAAAGGGGACAACCACAAGCGATTTGTGACCAATAAATTTTGTGGTGGAGTTAAAATTCATTGCTAGAATCAAAGCTGCTCACCCGAAAAAGTTGTATGCGCCCAGTAATTTCGAAACTCCTGGTCGAAAACGAATTCAGCATAGAGCTTGCACCAAGCATACTGCTAACGTAAAAATATCCTCAGTGGTAGGTTTTCCTCTACATGTAACGCAAATTCGGGCTAGTTCCATCAAAAAGTCCTCCACGAAGGCGAATTTCTCTCAATACTTGACCCAGAAGTTCCCTTGTCTTCTGGATTTGGTTCAAAATTACAAGGCTACGGAGTTGAACATTAGTAACCGCAAACCCAAAATATAGGGTCTGCTGCTGTTCAACGATGGTTATAATATGAAATAAAATAGCACACACGTGAAAAATTTTGAACAATCACTATGGGGTATTAAATAAGGTTAAAGTTACAGTTGACGTAAGACAAATGATATTCTACTTTTTGTTAAAGTTAGCTCTAAGAGTTTAAGTGAGTAAAACTCGAGGTAAAAAGTTACGTAAAGGCAACAGAATGAAACAATGATTAGAAACCAAGTCTAACAACACAAAAAAAGAAAAAAAGCGTGTCATTATCGAACATAATGAATTTTTAGTCATAAAATGAGCATTAGGACCTGGGTTAGGTTTTTAATGTCAAAAACTGGTTTTTGACAGGACACGCCAAAAACCTGTGGAAGAACGTCAAAAACCTAGGGGTCCTAGGGCAAGATTTCTTTTTCGTTATCGAGGACATTTTATTAGATATTAAACCCTGCACAATACTTGCAATACATACTACTATAATTATAATTTATGTTATTCAGCATAAATAAAAAATATAGTCAAAATTATTCAAACTTTTAAATGGTTTTTCCAAAAACATGGCATTTTTAATATTTCAAGATCAATATAAATTAACAGTAAACAACTATTCCGTTTATATTACATGTAATAACAATATTGTTAATTATTTATCAATCTAAATGTTGATTTTTAATTCTTTTATGACACAATTTAGGCAGATTTTTTAGAAGCCGCCAATAATTGTCTGATCTCAACTTATAAAATTTTTTGTTTCATTCCAAATATTTGTTGTTATTGCAGGAGAGCAAAATGTCTGATGGCGCAAACGAGGCTATGCGGAAAAGTTAGGTAACCATGAGGTAATGTTTAGTCTAAAAAATATTCTTACTTAACTTTTTGTCAGAAAATGTGCCGATTTGCAAAAATTGTCTCCGTTAAAAATATTATATGCCAATTTGTGTCTTTATTAGTTCGAATTCTTTAGAATTTCCTGCACTCCAGTTTATTTGTACATGAATATTTCACAATAAATCATGACTATAATACATTCCTTGACAAGTAAATTATTTATAATTTACAAAAAATATAAATGTTTGCTTAAATGAGTTAACAAATTTTTCAATCAATTAATTCAAGGGTTTAATTAAGTTACTATCAATATTTAGGACAGTTATTAGAATAAATTTCCTATTTACATGTTATTTTATCATGTTATAATAGTCTACATTCTAGTTTATACAGCTCAAAATCAAACAAAGGAATAGTTTCGAATTTCGGTCTTATTCACGTTTTTTTTTTATATAATTTCTTCTTTTTTTTCGGGGGGAGGAGGAATTGTCTGATTTAAGGAAGGAGGGGAGGGTTAAAATGGGAGTAAATGAAAATTGGTTTTACATAAATGAATAAGTGATTTTACAGTGATAGCTAATCATGCTTGTTGTGCGTTTTTTTAAATGATGATTGTTTTTGTATTATTATTTTCAATATTTAAACAAGTTGATGGATAGGCTAAATTGCATTTTTACACATTTTCATTCAAAATTATTTAATATTTTCTACAAAAAAAATTTCAGTTTTTGACAGTAATTAGTCAAAACCAAAAGAGAATTTAATGTCAAAATAATTCAAGAACATAATTGATTTTTCACCTGCAATTTAATATTTATATTTATACATAAATACATCATATTTTTAATCGCAAATAATTATCCTTACGAATATACAAAAATTTTAGGTTTTTGACAGCTGTCAAAAAGGGAATTCGGACATGACAGCTAAAACCGTCAATTGTCAAAAACTCACCAGCACTCATTAGCACTAAATGTATATAACTAGTACTTACGGAATCCAACTTGAAGAGTACAATATCAGAAAAATGTAATCCAAAAAGTATTTTCTTGGAAACCTGCAAAATTAATATTAATTATAATTAAACCGAAAAAAAAAACTATTGACTCACCACACATAAAGATTTGAATCTGAACATCTAATTTTAAATAAAATTAATTATTTCAAAATATACAGGTATATACACCCTTGTGCAAATTAATTGAAACAAACTTTTTTTTCGTGTTTTTTAAAGAAGATGTTTTGGGATTGTTTCGGTTACAATGGGGTTGGACCTTTGCAGCCTATGGACGGTATGGTGCGTTCTGAGCAGTACATTACTATTCTGGGTAAAAAAGTTGTTCCAGAGTTGAAGAAACGATACCCTGAAGGAACAGGGATTTTTCAACAGGATTTAGCTCCTTGCCATACGTCCAAAATTGTCAAGAAATTCACGTCTGAGAATCAAATTGAGACATTGGAATGGCCAGGGAACTCTCCGGATATCAAAACAATTGAGAATCTCTGGGCCATATGCAAGAATCGCCTATTAAATATGGACTGTACAACTATGGAGAAGCTAATCACGGCGTTAATTTATGTGTGGTACAAGGACACAAATATTATAAATGACTGTAAAAAATTAATGGAATCCATGCCGAATCGTGTCCAAATGTTAATAAAGTGTCGTGGAGATCATATTATGTACTCAAAATTTTTGAGTTTGTATAAATTTAAATAAAATAGCATTTTCTCTTATTTTTCTGAACTTATTGAGTTTGTTTCAATTAAATTGCACAAGGGCTATCAGCTGATCTCCGTTATATCAGCTGATCTCCGTTTAAGTAAGTAGAATTTTAGGTATTTCCAGATTTAAAAATTAAGAAAATATTCTTGTATAATAAACTCTTAGTGATCAAGTAAAAGTGGATTTACTTTTTGCTTCTTACACGTTCGTGTAGATCAAATTAGCAATCCCTGTAGCAGAATTTTTGGGGGTTTTCTGCGACAAACCTCCCTAGCACTAATATCTTTCTGCACAAGATACTTTTAATAACTAATACAGTGAAACCTGCCAAGTTGACCACCCTTGTAAGTTGGCACCTGCATAAGTTGACCTGAATTATCAAGAACGGAATTTTTCCTACGTAATATATAAAGAAGCAAAACCTTTGTAACTTGACCATCTGTCTATCTTGTATGTTGACCACTGAAATAAGTCAATTTTGTCTAGGAGTATTACGAAATTCTATTCTAAAACCTTCATAAGTTGACCAGAAAAAAAAATTTCAGAAAATATTCTGTCATTTTGCAATGTATGTTAAAATTTCACTTGTTTGGTGAAGTAGTGTAAAAAGCTAATCTAAACCCTTTTGTGAGTTGACCATCTGGAGAAACTGTAATGGGTCAGCTTTTGACCATTTTTTTCATTCAAAACATTGGGCTGAGGTAAAGTCTAAACAACAGCGCCAAACAACAATGAGGGAATATTTTTGAAGGAAAAAATCTTTCAGACATTTCTGCACAATATTTTTTTTTCCTTCAATATTCTTTAATTTTCATTCTTCTCAATTAAAAATCAAAAAATTGCGAACATTTCTTTCCCTTTCGATTTGCGAAAAAGGCATCTTTTATATATAGATTTAAGAGAAAACAAATTTCAATAATTTTTGCAGAAAAGAAAACCAAAATTTTACATTCTAAAGGAAAATTCCTTCTGCGAGAACTCCGTAACGTTCTACGACAATGTCGCCATGTCGCAGCGATTCTCAACTTCGTCAAAATCAAACTGTGCACTTATGTGCATTTATTAATTATGCGGTCCAAATGAGTCAATAACTTTCATTAGTGAAGGCGTTTTTGTTAATCGAAACTAATCATTCACAGATCTAAAACAGTGAACAATTCATTTTAAAGCGAAAATTAAGCTTACAAGAAATAATTTGGCTATGGCGTTGTTCAAGAAGTTAAAAACGCCATAAGCGAGTATTTGAGTAAAAAAAAAAAATGTCTAAACATAAAAAGTATTCCTTTGAAAAAAAAAACCTAATTTGAAAGAAAAAACAAAAATTTTAACAAAAAAAAAAAAAAAAAAAAAAAAAAAAANAAAAAAAAAAAAAAAAAAAAAAAAAAAAAAACAGGAGAGAGCGAGAGAAAATGTTAACTGATGCATCAGTATGTAGATGTAAGGTTCCGTCACCATAAATGAAGCATACAATGCATTGTCCTGCTTTTTTTTTTTGGCAAGTTAAATAATAATTTGAGCAAAAATATTTCTTCAAAATTTTTCGTTTACAAGGACGGCTAAAATAAATAAAATTTTGAAGTCAAAATTAAGTATCATTAAACAAAGAACAAAAAATAAACAACGTTTTTTTACTTTTCATTTAATGATTTCATCGAAAATCCAACGAGTGTAAAACAGGAAGACTCATCAATCGTGAATATAACACACAGTAATGCGTCATTATTAAGTCATAAAAAAGAAGGCCTAATCAGCGTTTTCAAATGTAATCATTCATGAAATGACCGGGAAAGAAACAAATTATTTGGAAAGTGTTTTGTAGGATCTAAATGTAGGACTTCTTGGTCACTTAACATTTAAAGAACAATGAGTCAATTTATTTATTCGCAAAAGTCTACTTATTGATTTGTATTTTTTAACAGGGTTCGCATTATCAAATTAAGAAGGGGTTAATAAAACTTTTTAAGAACTTTTAACCTTAACGTTAGTGACCTTCCATGGCAGTATTTATGAAATTTGCCAATTCTCTTTTTATTTCAAAAATTTTTTTATATTTTTTTTTAACCGTAACTCTAAGTTAAATCTTTTAATTAATAATTTTTAATTAATTTTTTTAGTTACTTTTTTCAATAAGTTTATTTTTTTAAAATATATAATATTGAATATATATATGTATTCAGGGGTCTGTCTAGAAGAAATTTGGGTCCGTTAACGGACCCTTCACAAAATATCTTTTCATAAAAACGGACCCTTCACAAAATATTTTAACTTAAAAACGGACCCTTCACAAAATAATTTTTCTTTTAATCGGATCCTTCACAAATTTGTTTATCTTCATTATTATTTTGTTAATCGAATAAACCCTTTCCAGGGCAGAAAACAAGAAAGATGGATGCAAACGAATTAAGTTTTGTCTTCGGCAGACGATTCTTCCATTATTCGTCCGAAATTAATATTCTGCGTTCAGCAGTATAGGCTAAATACCAAATATTTGTATGTTGCATCTCTAATTTAGAAGGAGCAATTGTTGTTATTTTTTTTAAATTTATTTTTTTTAATTACAATTTTACAGTGTTGGGCATAATCTTGTATGTCTATACAATTTAAAAACTCCTTGAAAAAAATTTTTTTTTGCAAAAACGGACCCTATTTGCACAAATTCATAAAAGCGGACCCTGGTTGAAAGAATGTGAGTAATTTTTTCACAATTTCACGAAAAACGGACCTTTCACAAAATGTCTGGACAGACCCCTGGTATTTAAATATATAATATTGAATATATTGAATATATATATATGTATTTAAATATATAATATTGAATATATTGAATATATATATGTATTTAAATATATAATATTGAATATATTATTAAATATATAATATTGAATATATTATTAAATATATAATATTGAATATATTATTAAATATATAATATTGAATATTAATATTGAATTATTATTGAATATATTATAAAAAAAATTTAACATTTTTTCAAAACTGTTGAAAACATATGAGTAACAGAATAAAATATCAAACAGAATCTGAAAGCCTGACAGAAAAAAATAATAATCAAGAACTGAAAATGGAATATTTTAAGGTCAAATGGAATATTTTAAGAAAAAGACGGGGAAAAATTGAGAACAAAGAAAAATAAATAAATAAATAAAAAACGTTTTTATGATTTACGATTAAGCGCCTTTTTGATGATATTTTTTCTTTCGCAAAATTAATTTTTGACAAAAAACTAAAAATCAGAAAAAAATATATTTCATCAGGAAAATCAGGACAGTTAACGGACCCAAATTTCTTCTAAAACAAGCCCTGATTAATAATATCTTTTCAAATGGCGCTTCAAAGTATTAACACCCGTTTGTTGCACCGTAAATTGAAACGCTTTTTCACAACGAACAGAAGGTGCCAAAAACTTGAAGGTAAGGATTAAAACTCATCTACGGTTGAAGTGTTTATTTTTATCGCACCACAAGATTCGACGGTCGGAGGTTAAGGAGGAAAAAAAAGGGGGAAATGGGAGGTCACATTTAAAAAAAAAATAGTAACAGTGAACATGCCAAGTTTTTCTCTCTTTCTCGCACACTCGTCGCATCGTGGAAAAAATAAATATCATAGTCAGACGTATTTAGTAAATAGCAAAAATCTCCCCCCATGCTTACTGAATTCAAGAAGCAGAGAGCTATTCAACAACAAGCAAATTGGATACAAAGACGTGAAAACGGATATCCTTATTGTCACGACAGCCAGAGGAGGGTCTTGGCCTTCTCCGGAATATATTTCTCCATGCCATTCTCTTTGACGCCAGATCTCTCCAGTTCTCTGTTTTGAAATGTAAGTTAATGGAGCCCAGCTATTGAAGTTATCGACATCCTCTAGATCTACAATCAATTGGCTTTTGCTTGATGTTCTTATGTATTTAGCTAGTCAAATGTGCCCTGCAAATCTCATTTTGCTTAATTTTACATGGTTTATTATATCAATGCTCTTATAAATTTTGTAAATTTCTGAATTTAGTTCTTTTTTTATATATAAATCCATCGTTGAACAGCCGACCCAATTTTTGGGTTTACGACTGCTAATGTTCAACTCCGTAGCCTTGTAATTTTAAACCCAATCCAGAAGACAAGGAAACTCTTGGATCAGTACCCCCAGAGGTATTGATTCGTTAAGGGAACATGGAGGACATTGCGACTCCACAGATTTAACGAGCATCAGTCACCATTTACTACACGGGGAGTCTTCGGCAGACTGGGATCGAACCCACGAACTCTTGGACATGGGCCCAGTGCACTACCAACCAGGCTATCCCAGCCTTTGTTCTG